TCCCCACACGGACACGCAGGTGGGGGCAGAGGGCGGCAGGGGCCACATGGAGAGCAGGAGTGTGAAGAGCGGAGGGCTTGGCTGGGCGCGGCGGCTCCGCCTATCACGCCAGCATTTTGGGAGGCTGAGGCGAGAGGAGGGCCCGGGCCCAGGGGCTCGAGACCAGCCCAGGCAACTTGGCGAGACCTCGTCTCTCCATTAAGTCAGAACATTAGCGGGCGTGGCAGCGCGCCTGCAGTTCCAGCTACTTGGAAGGCTGAGGCGGAAGGATCGCCAGAGCCCAGCGGGTCGAGGCTGCGGTGGCCGGGAGCGTGCCCTGCACTCCAGCTTGGGTGACAGGATGACACTTTGACTCAAAAAAAGGGAAAAAGAGCTGAGGGCCTGGGGATTCCTGCTGCCCCATGGAAGTTTCTAGAAACCCACAATAGGACACTGCCTCCGCCCAGGTTGTGCTCTACAGGTGGCATCCACGACGTACCAACAGCAGGCACGTGCTTCCCACTCGGGGGTCTTCCCACTCGGGGGTCTTCCCACCCAGGGGTTCTCCCCACCCAGGGGGTCTTCCCACCCTGGGGCATCTTCCCACACGCTGGGGGGTCTCCTGGTGTCCGAGAGACGGCTGCACCAGCAATCCTCAGAGACCTCCAAGCTAAAGGCATCGCTCCAGCCTGGGGACAACAGGCCCCTGGAGTTTCCGGAAGAGCTTTTCTCCCGGAGTCCTTTCCATCCCCACTCACCAGAATCCTGTCAAACGCCGACGGGGTCCCTCCTCTCTGCACGTGTCCGAGGATGGTCACGCGGGTGTCGTAGCCCAGCTGGGTGACCACGAGCTGCAGGGAGACACCATGAGGCTGCGCCAGCCCCAATCGGGAAGCGGGAGGGCCCTGGGGACACTGTCTGTTCCCACTGCAGATCCATGTGGGAAGCCCCGCCCCTAGATGCGGCTTCCTGGAGGAAGACCCAACAGCTATGACCCAACATAATACCCCCTCCCGCCCCCGCCGGGCAGATGGACAGAGCCACCCTGATTTTTTAAAATCGCTGCTTCAGTTTGAAGCGTTCCTTGGATTTGTGAGCCGGCAAGCACTCCCCTCTCGCCACCTCGACTCGGCGGAGCTGTCACTCGACCAGCGTGACCCGCGCAGTCAAGGCATCCCCCAGCCCCGCTCGCAGAAGGCCAGCCAGTGGTCAGACAGGCCGCAGACATCCCCGTGGACCGCCCCGTCACCTGACCCTGTGAACACAGCGGGGCGGAACGGACCCAGGGCACCTTCGTGTGCGGTCCCATGAGCTACCCTCAATCCCACTGAGTGGGAGGGAAGCCCTCGGCCCTGCCCCGACGACTGTGTCAACAGTGGTGGGCGTCTCCCTGGCATCATCCTTGTTTTCACGTCCAGGTGCAGACCTGGTACCGATGCCCGTAAGAGAAGCGTTCTGCTCATTAAGCAAACATGAACAACTAAGCACAACACAGAAGCCACTTGCCAAGCCAGGCGTGTGGATCCATCTCACCAGCCCTGTCCACGGCCCCGTCTACACCCTGCCCTTGCCCTGTCCACAGTGAGAGCCGATGGCGGCAGCAGCGCCCTGACCCTTCTGAGCAGCCCCGCG